CAGTTAAATAGCAATTAAATTACAGCGCATTCTGTTTTATCCAAATTGTTTGTTTTAAAACAAGTATTCCTTAGTTTAGTATCCGCACATTGTTTTAGTATACATTTTTTAAAACATATATTGTGGCAGTCATAAGGAGCACACACGATTGACTGTAAACACGTCTTTATTCCACGACTGCCGACAAGTGGATCTATTCTGAACAAGGACAGAATAGTGTCCGCCATAATATTTATTAAAAGAAAAATAAATAAAAGTCCGCGAGAGAGAAGCCCGACCCGAACCTGTTTTACTTCCGCATTCCTGTCGTTTTGGTCCGGAGCAGAAATTGCACGTGTGACCGCAAGTGGAGCTGCTTCGACGCTGCGCCGGAGCTGTCACGCTCAGCGGCTTTGCACGTGTGACCGCTCCACAAAATTTGCTCCGGTGTAAAATATATCGCAACAAAATATTTCGGTGCAGCGTCGGACCAAATGTGTGCCGTGTGAACAGGGCTTTAGTGTTGGCATCCGTGGGAGCATCTTTTAATTCTCATTCTGTTCTAAGTTGAACTGGAGACTTCTCATCATCTTAGCGACACTCTGTTGGAAATGACTATAGCGACGAAATAATCTTTTATTTCTGGTGTGTTTTATTGTAGTTGCTGTAGTTGTAGGACACTAGTTAAGTCCCTGGAAAAGACGGCTTGTTGGTATGACAGGGTCACAGATAATTTTCTTGAAAAGGAACGGAGAGTAGAATTCCCATATAAATAAACTGACATTTTATGATGTCGGCCAAAATTGAGCTTCCCCTCCTTGCCAGACCAGCATCTGCCACTGATGTATACAGTACATAAGGCTCCCTCCACGTTTCGGTTGAGAAGTCCAGAAGGCCCTCACCCATAAGTGTTGATGATTCTCTTAGGCTTCGTGAGAGACGAGCACAGGTCCTACACGCAGACACAATCAACTTAGAAGGGTTTTATTGCCAGGAAGTGACGAGGTAGCAGGAACAGATAGGTAGTCAAAATGATCAATTCAAGGAGTACAGGAACACAGTGGCATAATGGCTTGGCAGAAGCAAGTACAGCAGGAAAGCTCCCTGACGAACCGGCAACAGGTGGCTGAATGGGATGAAGACTTGCAGGTGTGTAGGGAAGGCAGGTGCAACGATTAGGGAGGCGCCCAGCCCACACTGAAAAAGGCAACAAAACAAAAGGGAGCGGCGACACCCTGGACAAACAAAGGATTCGAACAGATTCTCTCAATGTAGAACCTAACAATGTCACGTTGTGAGGTGGTGGTGGACCTCAAAAAAGCAGGCAAGAGGGAGGAGCAGGGTGTACTTAAAAGAGTGTATACTGATAAAACACAGAAAACTAAATCTGAAACAAACAAAGTATCAAACAAAAATCACGACTGAAGATAAAACATAACAGCAACCGAAACATGACTGAAACAAACCTGGTAGCAGCAAACAAACAAACACGACAGCAGCCAAGAGCAAACAATAACCCAACAATTAGTGCTCGGGCTGGGAGTCCTTTTAAAGCCACTAATTACCTAACGACCAACAGGTGTGCAGCTGCAGGGAAAAGCCCCACAGTGCCACCTGTTGGTCACAAACCAAAACATGACAAACAAAACTGATTCTTAATTGAAAATAGTTTTTAATGTCCTTCATTTTTTCATGCAATATGAAAATACATAGTACTTTGCCTTGAAAATAAGTAAATAAATTAAAATACGTAAATCAAAATAAAGATTAAACTGCTTTTCTTTTCTATTACTCTAACAACATTTACCACAAAACCTGGAGCTCCTGCGAATAAATCCCCTTTAAAAAGGCATCTAAAATTTAAATATGTTTCTTAACTTGTGGTGTGGGGCCCCTTGTTTTTTTTCCCTGCTGTAAAAGAATAAAGTGGAATTGTGTGTCCACTAAGCAGTGTTGCTTATTTTGCACACACAGCTCAGAGTTGGAGAGGTGAAGTGCAGTGACTAAATGCTTCAGAGACAACATGGAAAATGATTTGACAGTGACAAAAAGAAAGCCGCAGAGTCACCTAAAAAGCATGTCAATACAGTCATTCGTTGATTTATTTATTTATTTGCTTTTCGATAATATGAACAAGTCTACAATGTTATTCATTCATTCATTCATTCATTCATCTTCCGAACCGCTTCATCCTCACTAGGGTCGCGGAGGAGCCTGAGCCTATCCCAGCTGTCTTCGGGCAGTAGGCGGGGGACACCCTGAATTGGTTTCCAGCCAATTGCAGGGCACACAGAAACGAACAACCATGCACGCCCTCACTCACATCTAGGGACAATTTCAGAGTGACCAACCAGCCTGCCATGCATGTTTTTGGAATGTGGGAGGAAACCGGAGTACCCGGAGAGAACATGCAAACTCCACACAGGGAGGCCGGAGCTGGAATCGAACCCGGTACCTCTGCACTGTGAAGTCGACGTGCTAACCACTGGACTACCGGGCCGCCTCTACAATATTAGTTATGCCAATTTTATCGACAAATGATGCTTTTTATAAGTATTGAGAAACAGTTGGCTGGTGTCAAATATTTTCGTCTTCCTGGGGGACAGTGGAGGAGTATAAAATAAGTGAGAATGCGTAACCCTGGTTGGGAAACACTGCTGTAGATTAATAAAGTCTTCTTACAGTCGTCTTTTGAGTTGGGTGCATTATTCCTAAAAGACGTGTCCAGCAGAGGGCAATGTTGTATGTACTGGGCAGTGCATCTAGAATGTGATGTCACTGCAACTTGTTCCGTTTACCAGTTCGAGAACAGGAGTTGTGCAATACGGCAGCATAGTCGCATCCCTTCAGCCAAGTTCCAAATAAATTTGCCAAAGTCTGAAGAAATAGAAATTTCCACCGCTACGCAACTACGTCTGACATCTCCACCAGTAGATTTGCCCTGGGCTACTTTCTCCTTGACTGGTTGTGGTGAAAAGTCATTTTTTAAGTGGTCAAACTTGAAGCTTGAACACTAAGATCTCTTATCTGAAAACAGGTTGTTTTTCAACTCTATGTCTCTAAATAAATCTATCCATCCATTTTCTAATCCGCATATGCTCACAAGGGTCGCGGGCGTGCTGGAGTCTATCCCAGGCAGATGTAGACGAACAACCATTTGCACTCACATACACCTAGGGACATTTCAGAGTGTTCCATTAACCTGCCATGTGTGGGGTTTTTTGGAATGTAAGAGGAAACCAGAATACCCTTCTCCGGAGTACCTGGAGAAAACCCACGGAGGCATGGGGAGAACATGCAAACTCGAGACAGGAAGGCCAGAGCCGGAATTGAACCCTGCGCCTCTGCACTATGAGGCAGACGTGCAAACCAGTCGACCGCTGTGCTGCCACTCTCTAAATCAGGGGGGTGCCCAACCTTTTTTGACCAAAGATCTACTTTTCAATCAACCGACCTCACGTGATCGACTGGTTACCGCACACATTTACACACGCATGCCCTGATGAGCAATAGTGGCCCCTGAAGGGACCTTCATTCATAGTATACACTTTAGTATTGCCACGTTGCGTTTTTCATATAGTCACAAAATACTTGCTGTTGTTCCAGTGCTGTTTTCATGGTTGTAGATGATTCGGGTGGAGGATTGGAATGCGTGACTGCAAATAATGATGTTTTTCTGTGTGTAAATGAGAGACTGTTTGCATTCAAGTGTGACTGAGGAAGAGGGGGTGCCAAGGTGCCACGAGCAAAGGGGAGAGGCTGGTTGGACCCCTGCACTGGAGATCACAATCGGCACTCAAAAAGGCCCCACTGCAGGATGACCGCTTCCAACAACAAAAGACGGCCAAATGTTGGAGACCATATTCACATCAAAGGAAGATTCACAATAGGACAATCCACACCTAGTCTGACAGATGACGTTGGTCACACCTGGACTGTCCTCGCAGACTACTTGTCTATGCCTGAACACACACACACACACACACACACACACACACACACACACACACACACACACACACACACACACACACACACAAACACACACACACAAAAAAAACATTGCTCATCCCTTCTCTTTCATTGATTCTTTTATGTCTGTCTACTTTGCAGTAATAAATCTGCAACCAATATTAAACCAGCAAGGGATAAGGCGTCTTTGTCACTCTGCCTTGCTACCTTTGCGGTTAGGAGAAGTTGATGACCCAGAGCTCTGTTTAGAATAATTGGCTTGATCTATGCTGTATTAGACTATTTGTTCGGGATTAAATACTTTTCTGTGTTACTGACTCAAAAGACGTGTGCATCTGGTCATTCCTGAGCCCATCAACGAGCACCCCGGAAGTCTGGCAAGGTATTTGACTCTTGGTCAAATAGTGTGGTGGAAATTCCGCCTTCACCCCTAAGATGAACGAAACAGACAAATAAAGTGGACACAAAAGTTTGTGGGTTTGTGGAAAGCAAATCACTGCCTACCTTAGTAGAGAGCTGACACGGAGGCATGGGACACACTCTTGCAGCGTGTTAACGATTGTAGCTCACATGTACCATTTTAAAATCCTTCGCCCGGCGCTCCAGATTCCCATTCTTTGGCTGTGTCCACGGTGAATTGTACATGAAACAAACTCTGAATGAGAATAATAACAGATATGGCACACCAGCTCTGATCGCAAGCTGCAAATCCAGACCGCTGACCCCTAACTACTTATGGTGATTCAGGTCACGCACCACCATAGGTTAATGGTGACCAGACCTGTTTTTTTGTTTTATTTATTTTTTTAAGAGAGACTGATAGAATGCTAAGGGTACAGGCTGCACTAACACAAAAATATGACATATTAATAACACGCACACAAACACACAAATGTTTTGGGTTGGTTGTTCTTTCTTTACCCCCCTCTACATTCCTCGTGATCAACTTGGGACCAGTCCGTGTGCTACCGGTGGATCGCAATCGATGTATTGGGCACCCCTGCTCTAAATACAGTCTTCAGAAAACATATTTCACTAAAGGCTACAGGCCAATTTCTGTGTGCATTTGTGGCCAGTAAATGACTTTGCGCTTCCTCCGTTTGCATTTTTCCACTCCTCAATGTTGTTTGGGTTTTGTGCCATTTCCATGCTTACTGCAGGTTGGTTTTGATGACAGACTTGTTCACGTTGAACTTGTTGCCGACCACAACAGTCAGTTCTGTTCTACGACTAAATACAGTCTTCAGAAAACATATTTCACTAAAGGCTACAGGCCAATTTCTGTGTGCATTTGTGGCCAGTAAATGACTTTGCGCTTCCTCCGTTTGCATTTTTCCACTCCTCAATGTTGTTTGGGTTTTGTGCCATTTCCATGCTTACTGCAGGTTGGTTTTGATGACAGACTTGTTCACGTTGAACTTGTTGCCGACCACAACAGTCAGTTCTGTTCTACGATTTCTGTATTGCAGCGCCAGACGTTTGTCTTTCTTCATGCTATCCTCAGTATTGTTTCTTTTAATGTTCTCACAGTGTGGACTGCTTCTCTTTTCTTGTCTGGTCTGTTCCCTCTTCAGAGACAAAGAGGGATGACGCTCTCATGTCCAAATTAAGCCTGCATTCCAGCATCTTTTGTTTAGTCTGCGCTTTCATTTTTATCACCTGCACGAGAAAGTGTGTCTGCATCCAACATACTGTATTTGTCTACTGTGAAGACGATATTCACATAATTCTTTTACAGACGTTATCATCATTTATTGCATCCTGGTTGAGTGGCAAAGACATGATTGACAGAAGGGGCTCATGATCCATTTCCACTGAAACAGCTTGACCATAAACATACTGATTGAATCTTTCATATCTGTAGGTGCTGGCTCGCAGCGCTTTTTGAGCATATCTTGTCTCAGCTAATGCTGCCATTCTGGATACATCGACAGTAACAGACCAAGCCCACCCAGTCAGCAAAATTGGTCAGGCCCAGCTCTGGGCCACATACATCACTTGCACCCGGCCCACATACCTCAATGAATGATGGTCCTTTAGTGGCCCACATCTGGCATCCACAATGTGGGCCACATAAGGCCCATGTCTGAGCCAAATTGTATAACCATATCTGGCCCTACTCCGGCCCCACGCTGGGCCAGAACAGGTTCCTGATATCAGACTTAATTCAACCTGAACTAAGCCACTTCTTTCATGAGCCATATTTGACCACATTTTTTTTTTGAAAGCCTCAAAAACGACTGTTATAAAAATATTGTAATGCCCTTCAACGTGGACAGAAGGATGCACACAGTCGCTGATGCAACCTGTTCGATTTTAATAAACAAAAGGAGCAATAAACACACATTCATCTGAGTTGCTGTTAGCCACAACTCACGCCCATGCGCTCTCCACTCAGACTTAACTGCCGGAGCCAATATTCGCCCAACCTGGCTCGTCCCCTTTCTATGATGTCACACAAATACAAGAAACAGATATTACAATATATTTATTGTGTTAATTTGTGAACCTCACATGTAACTGCACATACACTGGAAAACTGCACTTTTCTTGATTTAACATTGAACACAGAGTCCAAACTGGGATGCAACTTGCTCTTGAACTGCATTTTTCTATCTATCAAATTATTGTGCTCTCCATGCCCTTTTCTTCTCATGCTCTCACCAGCCCTATCAGGAGCCAGATGTAGCCATCTTTTGATTGTGACATCGATTTCCTGGTCTGTGGCCCAGGATGTTAGGCTGTTAGGTCTGACAGCGGCTGTAAGAACTGTAAGAAAACAAAGATGGACAGTGTGTTAGAAAAACAATCATTTGTACATTTCATTACCAATGAATGCTCAAGTAAAAATAACCCTTGAAATTTCTTAAACTAGGTGTGACACTGTGGGGTGGAATATTTGCTACTAAAAACTAAATGTGGATAACATAGATTTAAATAGTTTATAACAAATTTGAATTACATAATTTGAAGTTAAGTGGCTCGGATAATGGATTGATTTGTATATTTTAATCTGAATCATATTGAATAACTGTTAGAGCAATCTATGAGCAAAATTGTATCATGTTTAAAGTTTCATTTAATTTGGGCACATCTAAACGTTTGGGTGCGTACCCGGCACCCCCAAATCCCTGTGCACAAAGGTGCCGGCCACCTGGCCGGAGGGCTGTTGAAGTCCACAATTAGCACGTCAATGCAGGTGGGCGATCACAGGGGAGAGGGCGAAACTCGGTCACAAAAGGGGAATGAATAATTCGGGAACAGCGGTTGAACAACAAAAGAC